CACGCCGCACCCCCACCCGCTCCCGCCCAGTCTTCCTATTGGGCCCCGGAACAAGGGACGCTCTCCCAGGCCTTGGTTCTTCTTGTTTTGTTCTCCTCTCGAGTGTCTGGTCGGTTGGGCAGTGTAAGTGTGGCTGGGGGTGAATGTTGAGGCCTTGTTTCCTGCCGGCCCATGGTAGGTTTTGTGAGATTGTTGACGCTCCCACCTCGCATCCCCGTCCTCCGCGGGCTGGTTGTGAATGAAGTTGGGAGGCCGGACTCCGCGGAGGGTTGGGAGTTTCCGTGCAGCCAGCGCACTAGGCCTGGGCGGCCCTCGGCGCGCCTCGCGGCCCGCTGATGACAAGGTTCACGCGCACAGCTTGCGTGGGCTGGGTTCCTGGGGAACGAGGTTCGTCCACAGCGCTCCCTTCTCTGTCGTGTCAATGCGGAAAAGCGGGTTGCCCCAGTTTACTGAAGGTCACCTCTGCACCTCCACTTTCTCTGGCTGAAGGTCCTTTAGGATCATGGGTCGCCGCGGATGGGGGAGAACAGTTTAGAGACTGATATTGGGGGAGGGGGTCAAAAGGAGGAGACGTTGAGGCCATGATTTCGGGATCCAGGAATGAGTCTATAGATTTTTTTCCCCAAAAGACTTATTAAAGAACTCATTGCAAATATTTTGTGCCTTTGTAGGACGCTTTCTTTCTGCTTGTTACATGACATCTGGGAAATGTCACCGCACTTTTTGACTACCCAGTTCCTGACTCTTTGGGTCAAATTTATCTTAATTCAATTTGTGCTTCTCCTTGAACTTAAGGAAACTGAGAGGATAAACAGCATGGCTGCTGTCTGCCAGTGCTGAGCTAATTGCTTTGAATCCTGGCCCAATACTTTCTGCGGGCCTTTTCCTGTAAAAGCTTGCGGTGCTTATGGAATTCTGGGAAATTGGGGCAATGTTGCCTTTATTAAACTATCTCTAATAGCCTTTGTGAGCTGGCTACTTTTTTTACTTGATTATTTTTTCTGTGAAATTGACTTTAATATCTGTTAAGCCTCTACTGGTGTTGTACACTGTACACTTATCATTGACTTCTTAAAATTATATGTAAGTCTTCATGAAAGTGATGGGAACATACAAAGGAGTGAAGACTTTTTAGCCCAGCAGAGTGCGATACTGAGTTGTCTTCCCACATTAATTGTATTGATTGTTGCATTCTTATTAAATATATATTTGACCTTTGCTAGAGGTTTACATTTATCATTGACTCTAAAATTAGAGGTGAGTCTCATGTAAATGGTGGGATGGTATAAAAGAATCTCTTTCCTTAGCCCAGTAGACTACAAGTCTTAAAACCTGAGTTGTCTTTCCTGTTATGGTTGTGCTTGATTACCGCTTATTAAATTCCATTTTTTGCTTAGTTTTGTAAAATAGAATTCTTTAGGTATGTTTCAGGCTCCTGTTACCTCATACTACTGCTATTGCTTTCATGATTTTTCCCTTATTCAGCTGGTCTGACATACCAGTTGACAGATTAATCTTTCCAGGTATCTTGCTGTCTTGTTGATTTACCCACTCCTAAATGTCTTTTAATTCCCCTTTGCCTACCAGGTTAGGGAGATACATTGAGCTTAACACTCAAGTCCTTCTGCTATATGGTACCAAGTTCCTCTTGCCAGCTCATCTTCCTTGGCTCCTTATTGTACCTTACAGTTCAGCCAAATGGAATTATTGCTGTTTTGCAAATGGGATTTTGTTCATACTGCTTCCTCCCCTCCGCTCCCAAACTGGAATGTCCTTTCCTTTATATATTGTCAGAAATCTATCCTTCCTTCAAGGCCCATCTCACATTGTGTCTTCATTTTTTCTTCTGTCAGTGCTGTTTTGAATTTTTATAATATTCTATATCATAATTATAACATTTAAAGTATCTTGTATGCATGTCTTAGTCTAGGTGGTAAATTTTTTGAGATGAGGCCCTAATGTGGGGCACAGTGAGTAGGAGGCACTCACATGTTTGTCAGATTGAAGGGAGCCCTCTTGTTCTGCTTTAACTAAAGCATTATTATTAGTTGTAATTTGGGACTGTTAAATTTCAAAATAAGTCCTGAATAAAATTTATGTCCTGCCAAACTGTTAAAATATACCTACTTGTTGCTTTGGGATGTACAATTTTAAGCCAAAACAGGATGAGTTAGACTTGTGAAGTTTACTTCTTGCCTCTGATATAGTAACTGTCTCCTAAAAATTACATCCAGAGTGTTAGCTTGTAGAAATAAACATTTTCTAAGTAGGTTGTCCTTCATTTCTCTTGGAAGGAGTCCAAAACTACCTACCTGGAAGAACTTCCACCTCTCCCTGAGTATGAATTGGCTCCATCCAAGTTAGGAGGGGAAGTGGATGATGTTTATCTCATTCGAGCTCAAGGATTACCATGGTCGTGCACTGTAGAAGATGTGCTCAGCTTTTTCTCAGGTATATTTTATGTACTAAATATGTAATTTTGTCTGAGTAAAAGATAATCCCACAAAATCCAAGGTAAGCTACAATGTAGACATCTTGGTTGGAAATTGTCTCATTCGGCTGGTTACAGATGCATATCAAGTGACACCATGTGTACCATTTGTGATATATACCAGGTTTAAAGACTGAATGCAACAGAAAATTTAATGTTAAAACTACATGGTATGAAACCATTTTTCTCTGAAGTTTTAATACGCACAAATCAAAAAACCCAAACTTGCTAGAGGAACTATGTTAGTGAAAATACATATATGAGTAGATCTTTATGTAATATATTTGTGTAGAATACAAGATCACTTAGTATCAAGTGACATGGTTTGCTTGATAACATGTTTGGGAGGTTTACATATCTGTGGTTTTTAAGTTTATCTGACTGATTTTTAATTTTCCTTTTAAGAGGCTTTTAGAACATGCCATCTTAATTGTTGTAAAAATGATATACCAACATATTAAGCACTTTAACACGCATAGCATTGTGTGGGTCAAGCATTTTATAAAACCATTTTACATCTTCTATTTGCTCCCATTATAAGAAATATGCAGTATGGAGATGTTTTTCCTTGGTAATGAAAAGGGGAAATAGTTAAATTATTGTAGCAAAATTATTCTTATAGGAGATATTTTACAGTTTTTTGGTTATGATTGTAACAAAAGAGGACACATGCATAAACCTAACCATATTTGAAACTGATTGCAGAAACGTTGGGAAGGACATAACATTTTTTGTTTAGCCTCACCTGAATTGGCATTTAATGATCAGGGGTATCAGAAACGTATGTGCTAAGGTTTGCTTATCTTTCTCATGTGGAACATTTTAGAGACTACCACCTTAATGGCATTTGGATGGCTTCAGTGATGGGGGTTTGTGTAAGGAATCTGACAGTCATTTTGGTTCCTGCTTTGTTTTGTTGTTGGAAGACTGCATTCTAGTGACTTGTTTAATTGAGCTAAAAGTTTGATTTCAGTTTTAATTTTATTCACATACTTTTAGACTGCAGAATCCACAATGGTGAGAATGGAATACACTTCCTTTTAAATAGAGATGGGAAACGAAGGGGTGATGCCTTAATTGAAATGGAGTCAGAACAAGATGTGCAGAAAGCCTTAGAAAAGCACCGCATGTACATGGGGCAGCGGTATGTGGAAGGTACGTTACACTAAACTAGGATCATTACATTAAACTATTCTTTCCAAAGCAGTTTCATTTGATCCTTAACAATGGTGAAGGAGGTGGATATTATAAATACACTCTTTTACAGGGTATGAAGATGGAACACAGATTATCTCAGTTGCTTATTTATAAAAAGAGGATGTTGACCAGGTTTATATCACAAGTCATGAGTGACACCTGGCATATAGTAAATATTTAATGTCCTTTGTTGTTATTTTCTTCAAGGAAGTACGTAAAAATTTTAAAAATGCTAGTTTTTAAATTCTTAGATAACCCACTAAGTGTGATTTTTTTAAAAAAATGCCTTCTCCCTTTGTTATGTATATTTTGCGTATCTTTTTGTGCCTTTTCTTTGTAGTATATGAAATAAATAATGAAGATGTGGATGCCTTAATGAAGAACCTGCAGGTCAAATCTTCACCTGTGGTAAATGATGGCGTGGTTCGATTGAGAGGACTTCCTTATAGTTGCAATGAGAAAGACATTGTAGACTTCTTTGCAGGTGCTTTTTAGTTTTATGTTTGAGGCCTTATATCTTTTCTCCCCATTCTTTCCTTTTGTATCTTAATGTGAACTTTTCCCTAGGTAATTTGCATGCAGTAATATTAGGTTCTTGAGGGGAGAACTCTGCACTTGGATTTCCAGTATTTATAGATAACATGAATGTTTTGACTTATCACGCTGATCTTTGAGGATGTCAGATTTCAAAATGATTCCATGTGGGTTTATTTTACTATTGAGGAAAATATCTTCTCATAAGAGTGGCCCATATTTGTCTAAAACAGTAGCAGTTTATATGATTTAAAAGCATTAAAAAGAGGATGTTGACCAGGTTTATATCACAAGTCGTGAGTGACACCTGGCATATAGTAAATATTTAATAAATGGCCTTTGTTATTATTTTCTTCAGGGAAGTACGTAAAATTTAAAAAATGCTAGTTTTTAAATTCTTAGATAACCCACATCTATTTACATCTATTTCTTAGGTGTAAAATATGCACCATTAGTAGTGATATTAGTCTAAACCTCTATTTTCCCTACTGTATAATTAATGGCAAAAAAGAAAAGAGACTTATGTTTTAGATGGACTGGACAGTAAACGTTGTGGAAATATAAATGTGTTGGTGTTATTAGCTTTTTGGTACATAATAATTTTCTTACCATTAGGTAAGTATGTAGCTTTGGGACTGGCAAAATGGTTCCCAAATTTTACTATTTTACTATTTTACTTTATTAAAGTAAAAAGAATTAATATGTGAATGAATGTGTTGATTTTAAGGATAAAAAAGTTTCTATTAGCACGAATTTATAGTAATTTTTTTGTGTCCTAGGACTGAATATAGTAGACATTACTTTTGTGATGGACTTCAGAGGGAGAAGAAAAACAGGAGAAGCTTATGTACAGTTTGAAGAACCAGAAATGGCCAATCAAGCTCTGTTGAAACACAGGGAAGAAATTGGTAACCGGTGAGTGAAGCAGATACTAGAGATGCAGAAGTATCATACATTGGGTCATATTGTTGAATACTACTGATCTAAATACATAAAAGTAGAAAGAAAGTATGATAAGCTGTCAAATGCCTAGCACTTAGATTAACAAATTATTGACATGTTATATTTGCTGCATCTGTTATTTTGTTATGCATTTAAAAAAAAATTTTTTTCTTACGTGATACCAATATTATCACATCTAACAAAGTTAGTAATAATTTATAATCTAATACCAGTCCGTAATCACATTTTCTTAATTTTACCAAAAATATCTTTCTACAGTTGGGGTTTTTTTTTTCTTTTTCCTTTTTTTTTTTTTTTTTTTTTGCACCAGAATCTAGACATGGTCCACACATTGCATTTGATTGTTATGTCCACAGTTTTTTTTTAAATAGAGTAGATCTCCTTCTCCTTTATTTTTTTATTCACTTCTTTTATTTTTATTTTTTCCCCAGCTTTATTGACGTATATGAGACAATTAGTTGCTCATATTTTACATTGTACAAGTCAATGAGTTTTTTGCAATTATAGTTTGTATACAATAATATATTTGTTTCAGTGGTATAGCATAGTGATTAGAGTTCTAACTCACGAAGTGGTCCCCCACTAAATCAGGTACCCTCTTCCCCCTTACATATTTTTTATAACATTGTTGACTATTTTTCTTATGTTACACTTTATATATCGATGACTATTTTGTATCTATCAATTTGTACTTCCTAATCCCTTTGCCCTTTTTCACCATCTCCCCTAAACCCTCTCTTGTCTAGTAGCCCTCAAACTATTCATATTTATGAGTTTGTTTCTGTTTTTGTTGTTTATTTTGTTCTTTAAGTTCCACATATACGTGAAATCATGCGATACTTGTCTTTCTCTATCTGACTTCAGCACAATACCCTCAGGTCCATCAAGGCAATATCTTTTTCCATCCCCTTCCTTTTAATCTGAATTGAGTCTCTCATAGGCAGCATATGTAGAGGTCATGTTTTCTTATTCATTCAGCCACTCTATCTTTTGATTGGAACACTTAACCTTTTTCCATTTGAGGTATTTATTGAAAGAAATGCAGTTATTACCATTCTTTATTCATGTTTTTGATACATGTTTTTTCTTAAAGATGTCCCTCCAACATTTCGTGTTATATTGGCTTGGTTTTGATAAATTCCTTTAGCTTATTTTTATCTGGGAGCTCTTTATCTGTCTTTCAACTCTAAATAATAGCTTTGTTGGATAAAATATTCTTGGTTGTAGATCCTGGGTTTTCAACACTTTGAATATTTTGTGCCAGGTTCTTCTGTCCTGCAAAGTTTCTTTTGAGAAATCAGCTGCCAGGATTATGGGAGATCCCTTGTATAGGTAACTAATTGCTTTTCTCTTGCTGCTCTTAAGATTCTCTCTTTGTATTTAACCTTTCGCATTTTATGATATGTCTTAATGTGGGCCTCTTTGAGTTCATTCTTTTGGGGGACTCACTAAGGTTCCTGGGGTTGTATGTTTCCTTCACCAGGTTAGAGAAGTTTTCCATCGTTATTTCTTCAAATTTATATTTAACTTCTTGTTCTCCTTTTTTGGGTAACCCTATGACACGGATGTTGTTACCCTTAATTTTGTCCGATAGGCTCCTTAAATTATTATTATATTTTTGGTTACTTTTTTTTTTGCCATTCTGGTTGGGTGTCCTTGACTTCTCCATACTCTGTCGATGTTTTGATCCTCTTTATCCACTCTGTTGTTCTGTTGAGTCCCTTTAGTATATTCATCTCAGGATAATGTATTCTTCATTTCTGACTGGTTCCCTTTTATAATTTCTATTTCCATTTTTATGTTTTTTTATCCTTTTGTTAAAGTTCTCACTAAGTTCACCTACACTTAATTTCACTGAGCATCTTTATAACCAGTGTTTTGAGCTTTGCGTCTGTGAGATTGCTTGATTCAATTTTTCCTTGATCTATGTTCTGTTCTTTCATATGGTTTCTGCTTCTTTGTCTTTCCATTTTGGCTGCATTTCTGTGTCTGTTTCTGTGTCTAATCAAAGCTCCTAAGTCTCCTGGTCTTTTGTGTAGTAGGTGTCCAGCAGCACAGTCCTGAGAAGGGTTCAGCTGCAGGCCAAGTTTAGCCCCAGCCTGGGCCCCTGTTAAGATTCAGCAAGCAATCCATAGATGCTATGCTTATAGTTGCCTCACGAAGCCACGCCAGAAACCGAGGTCAGCTGTCATTAATATGAGTCTTGGCGCTGCTCAACAAGGAGCACCTGACTTGCTGAGGACACATCTGGGTGTGGTTTGGGTGGGGCCGGGAGTTGGGGGAGGTGGAGTTTCAGGGAATCCTCTGGGCAAAGCGACCTCTGTTACCCAGTTAGATAACATCTCAGCTATGGCAGCACCTAGTCCAAACACTGGGAGGGGAGAGGGCTCAACAGAGGAACAATGGGTACCACCAGCACTTCTGCCCGGGAGAAAGCCTTGCAACCAGCTTTCACTCTAACAACTCAGTGTCACCCTGTAAGTCCCTGATGCCCCCCATAGCAACTGACCAGGCACTAGTGCTTAGAGCGAGCAAGTCCATCACTGTGAAGGTCTACTCACGGACACAGCCCCTATAAGAGGCATCTGCAGCTGCCAGCTGCCACTGCGCTTGCCTCTGTCCCACTCAGCCTCTAGGGACTGGGCAGCCTTGCGTCTTCTCTCCCATCTACGTCTAACTGGTGCAGAGTGATTTCTTATTTCTCTCCATAGTTGTAGAGCTCTGTTCATCTAGACCCCCAGGCAACTCTGATTGTTCTTTGCTTCGTGTTTCCATCTCAACTTTGATGTGGTCGCAAGAGGGGATAAGAGAAGCTTCTATCATCTACGCCATTTTGCCCAGTTCTTCTCCCCACTTGTAAAATGTGATTGGCTTTTGAAGAAATTGGATCAGTTGTCCTATACAGTGTCTCACGTTCTTTACTTATTGCTTCCTCATGGTGTCACTTATTCCTTTGTACCCTTTATTATTTCTTGAAAACTGGACATTATAGCTAAAGTCTTAAGTTTGTTCGGGTTAACATTTTGCTTTGGTTGCTCTATAGATGATGTATATACTGCATATCACATCACATTAGGATACATGTTGTGATGGATGGCTTCTTTTGTATTTTAATTTTAATTTTGGAGGAGTACTCAGAAGTGTCAAATTTTAAATCACTGTTTTGCTGCTTTTTGCCTTTTATACTTCTTCAAAGTTTAAAAAAGTAGAAAGCCATTCTAAAGCTATTGTTTTAGGATCTACTTATAGAATTTGTTCAAAGGTTTTATTAAATTTTTAAAATTGAAAAAAGTATATGCAAAGCATCTTCCTTTCTCAATTTTCTTTCAACACTTTATATTTTATCATGTATCTTGGAACATGTCAGTAATGATTTTATGTGGGAATGTTAAGATAGTGTACAAATTTCTTCAGTAAATTAAGAAGTAGTGCCTATCTGATTTTTATAAGGTTTTAAATTCAAATTATTTTTATAATTCAAGCTTAATAATCCAATTTGGAAAAGCAGTGTTGAGAAAAAGAAAACTGGATCCAGAAGCATTGATTTAATAGATAGATCCACTGCCAAGCAGATAGCAAGTCAGAATCGACATTTAGTTCATGAATTCTCATTAGACTCCTAGCAAAATTCTGGAGAAAGTTAGCTACTTGTATACTGTGATTTTTAATATCTTATACAGATATGATTAATTTTCACAGAATGAATTGTGAGGTTTTAAGATATTGTTAACCAACTCTGAAAAACAAACCCCTTTTTACCAGATTAATTTTTTTCATACACACAATTAACCTTAGCATAGTTGTCCTCATGAAGCAAAATGGTAGAAAATATTATTAAAATACGTATGAAGAAAACTGTTATCCTGGGTGGGGAAGATTAAATCAGTGATCTGTTCTGTTGAGATTTCTTTTTTAATGGGCTAATAATATTTATATCCATTCTTTCTTTCCTCCCCAACCTGTCATCTTAGGGAAACTGTATTTTACAAGCTGTTGGAAATATTACATATGCATTTAGTTTTATTTTAAATGAGTTCAGTGTGGTTACTTTGCACCTTTTGTGCCTGTTTACTTTTGCTTTGACGTTAGATATATAGAGATATTTCCAAGCAGAAGGAATGAAGTTCGAACTCATGTTGGTTCTCATAAGGGAAAGAAAATTGCATCTTCTCCTACTGCTAAGTATATAACTGAGCCAGAAGTGGTCTTTGAAGAACATGAAGTAAATGAGGATATTCAACCAATGACTGCTTTTGAAAGTGAGAAGGAAATAGGTAAGGACCTGCCTCTCGTTGACACTCTTTGGCTCTATCTTGTATTTTTGATATTTGTTAAAATATTTTTTATGACCATGTTATATGAAATTGTAGGATTCTAGGACAAAGGAATTGAGTTATAAAAAGATTTAATATGTTTTTGAGTATAGTATGTACTTTGAATATAGTCAGAGGGGCTTAATTATTTCATAAAGTTTTTAATCATTTTGTATTTTCTATATCAAAAAAGCTGTGTGGCACAAATATAACACAAGGAAGTAAAAT